CTCGCAAATAGCACAACTTTTCATCGTCAATGCCTTTAGAAGGCACAGCAGAAATTTGACGTCGATCCGACTAAATCCCTAGGAGGAGTTCGTTAAAGTACGAAGTATGTAAATCATCCAAAAATGGCCATAAAATTCAAAATGGCCGACTTCCTGTTGACTTTAGGCTATGGGTTCTTGAGGCTTTTTTGTGCGTCTTGATACGATACATGTCCCCAGAAAATTTTGTACATGTAGGTTGAACGTGAACGAGGGGCTAATCATTTCCAATTTTCTAGGTGGCGCTAGCGAGTCATTTTGCCACGCCCATGTGCGAAACTTGTAGAATACGAAATTTTTCACCGGTTCTGACATGTTTGCAAATTTTGGTGAGTTTTCGAGTATGTTTAGGCCATGTCATTTGGGCCTACTTTGCAGAAAAAAAAAAAAAAAAAATCCGAGCAATTTCAATAGGGACCTCGCACGGTCGTGCTCGGGCCCTAACAAATTGCTTATCAAAATTGTTGCTGGTTAATTATCTGATCAAGCAGTCAATTACTTAGTCTATTCAGCTTTATGCAAGCTCTGCCTTATTTTGTGTCAAATGTAGAAATGACGGAAGATGTTGTGAGAAGATGATACTAATAAAGAGAACTTTAATTATGATAATGGAGTATTTTTCAGGACTATCTGAAAATGGGCATTTTGTAAATTTTATTAGCAGTAATTTTGTTGAGTGAGTTTAGTATTTGAGTCTAGCAAAATACTTTTTTTTTTTTTTTGTAGATTTCCCTCAGCGTGTAAGTTCTGTACAATAAATTAAATGTTTTTAAAAAATGTATTTATGTATATTTATATTTAAGTTACGGTTTACTCAAATATTATTACCACTACTTAAAAAGTTTGAGGTAATCAGTTTCCACAAATATTTTGAGTTTCTGAACTTATTTGGGTTTACAGTGTAGCATTTATTACAAAAATGATTTTACTATAATCTATTTTTGATAGCTGTATATGTATGTTTGATATGAAAAGGTTTATTCTTTGCACCTGTTGTCAAAAAAACACGGACATATACACTCACCAGCCTTGCTTGTACTGCGTTGGACCCCCTTTTACCTTCAGAACTCCTTAACACTTCGTGGCATACTTTCAACAAGTGTTCATATTGACATGATAGCATCACGCAGTTGCTGCCGATTTGTCAGCTGCACATCCATAATGCAAATCTCCCGTTCCGTCACATCCCAGAGGTGCTCTATTGGCTTGAGATCTGGTGACTGTAGAGGCCGTTGGAGTACAGTGAACTCACTGTAATGTTCAAGAAACCAGTTTGAGATGATTTGAGCTTTGTGACATGGTGCATTATCCTGCTGGAAGTGGCCATCAGAAGATGGTTACACTGTGGTCATAAAAGGATGGAGAAGGTCAGCAACAATACTCAGGTAGGCTGTCGCGTTTAAACGATGCTCAGTTGATACTAAGAGGCCCAAAGTGTGTCAAGAAAATATCCCCACATCATTACACCACCTAGTGATGGTTGTGGGTGAAAATCCCAGTAGATCAGCTGTTTCTGAAATACTCAGACCAGCCCATCTGGCACCAACAACCATGCCACGTTCAAAGTCACTTCATTCCCCTTTCTTCCTCATTCTGATGCTCTTTTTAAACTTCAGCAAGTTGTCTTGACTACGTCTACATGCCTTAATTCACTGAGCTGCTGCCATGTGATTGGCAGATTATCTATTTGTGCTAACAAGCAACTGAACAGGTGTACCTAATAAAGTGGCCTGTGAGTGTACTTACAATGTTGTGAACTTAAAAACATACAATTTGTAAAAGTATTTAGACTAAGTATTAGGCAAAATGAGTCTTAAAACACTCGTGGAGAACAAGGTTTCTAACAGATTTTACTAATTTGTGCAAATGTAAATTTCAAAATAGTGTTCTGTGATACTGCTCATTCCTCTTCTGGCATCTCTCTGAAATAAATTCTGTTTTGCCCACATGAATAACTAGGCTACATTTTCAATAAAGATTATTTTGACTTAACGGCTCTTGGACCTTTCTACATGTAACATAGCCCAGAATATAAACCTGCTTTTTGTTAATAAGTAATGTTAAAGTGATAATGAAAGTGCCACAACATCTTATATGTATAGTATCTATCTTGGAAACTAGGAATTTACAACTGTACAACAGGGGGAGTTCAATTATTTACTAAGCAGTTAAGAGGTATGTATCAGTACTAAAGACAATTAACTATTTATGCATTAAAATTATGGAGCCGTAGAGTTCAACTGAGTGATCTTGTTAACAGACACTGTATATTTGTCTACATAAATTATCTAAATCTAACTGTAAAATGTTTCCTGTGATTCTGTTGACAAGGAGCATCAAAGTGAAAATGAGTAAGAGGCTGCAACATTGTCAGTGTTGTGATAAGAAACGAGGAAATTACAGAAGGCTAAGTCAGTAGTAGAAGGTTTATTAACTGAACATGGACACAGCTGAAGTTTGCTTCCTTCAAAAAGACCATAAAAATGAATCATCATTTATAAATCACAACTTGCTGGTGACGCTAACATAACTAGATTTTAAAATGTCCAAATGTTTGAATGTAAAATATATTAATACTGGTTTACATAACTGTAATTTACACATAATTCAGGTTCAACGATTCACATGGGTTTGACTTGTACTTGGGAATTTCTCTTTTTGTACTCAAAACATTGTAACACAAAACACAGATTGGTTTTACTGTGTAGATTTGCAAGTAAGGTCATATATGGTGAGTCCTTGTATTGAAACTTTGTATGTTGAAAGCAAAAATAGACAATGAATTTCAATTAAGTTGAATGGCATCATGCACTTACATAAAAAAGCTGTTTATAGTACTGGACACATTCTGATATAATTATATTCAGACAACTTATGGTAAAACTTGATATCTTTTCAAAATGAAGTTAATTATCTCTCTCAATTCATATCGATCACTATGACACATTATTTTCATCCTTACACACTGAACTCTGAGCATTTCCATGACCTCAGATACTCCTGGCATAAGCAATAACAGGCTGAGTCATGAGGTCAGCAGACTGACACATTTTATGACCCATTTATGTGCTGAAGTTTTATCTCATTGGCCTTCCTTTAGCCCTAAAACACAAGGGGACATTTATGTCATGAGTGAGTTCTCCACATTTTATAACATCTATGTTTATGAATTCAATACTTCAGCTAGTCTATATGAAGTATAGCAAGGCTTGTTTTTTATAAGATAAGCACATTCCACACATTACTCATGAGGACAAGATCACAACATTAAAAACATTCCCCAACTGATGATGACAACTGGTATGTCTGGCACAAGGTGATACATACAGTAATTATAGGCAAGTGGATCTTTAGCAAATATTTGCAGTTTCACCTTGTTGACAGGCTTAACTCTCATAAGATGTTATATGACCTAACAATTAAACTTCCTTGGAAAATGAACAACCCATTTTATGGTATGTAATATGTTAATAACACTATCCAGTTTGTTTAGTCTAACTGTTAGGTTGTACTGGTATCATATGTACAAAACTGTGAATCACATGCAAGCAAAGTACCAGAACAGGCCTATTTTTCCAGACACCCAAATATCCCAGCAATGACAGCTGCAGCGAAGGACATGTTTCCAATGACGAGGATTACTGAGACAGCGGTGACAATCACATTGGCTGCACTGAGCGTCTTCTGAAATTCAGAGGTTCAGCGAAAACGTGAAAAACATTTTTACTGTGATGTCGCACATGACAAAACAAGATGTTAGCAGAACATGTCACAATGTGGACAGGCTCACCTTTCTTCTTTGTTGCCTCCATCCCTCACCTGTTTTTAAACTCCCTGTAACAGAAAATACTGACTGATATCATTTTGTTCTTCATAAGAATCCATAGCCTACTGTATTTTGTGCATAGTAACAGTAGTACAAGCTATTCACCTATTTTGCTTCCCCCCAGTATTGCTTTTCCGTGAGCAGTGAATACGAAAACCCAAATTACAAACAGCAAAATCCACGCTGTGTAAGCGACCATCACTTTCAGAAGCCAAGACTCTGTCCTGTTCTTACTGCAACTGTCAGTCTTGATAACACCAGTAAAGATCACAGCAACTGTGTGTAGAACAAGTTTGGAAATTAAAACCAGAGCAATAAACAGGCAATGGCAACAATCTGACAGGACGCTAGCTGTGACATTTGTTAGCTCTATTGTTTTAAAGCAGTAGTTCAACATTGTGGGAAATCTGCTTATTTGCATCCCTGCCAAGAGTAAGATGAGAAGATTTATACCATTCTTATATCTGTCTGGTAAATATGTGGCTAGAGCCAGTAGCTGGTTAGCTTAGCATTGATGTGAAGACCGAACATAGCGAATCACTTAGCCTGGGTCTGTCCGAAGGTGCATAGCACTGCTACAGCTCACTAACAAACACTTTGTTTAATCTGTACAAACTGTGTGAAATGTCATGTTGTACTTGCAGTTACTGCTTCAGGGCAAAATATTTCAGGACAAAAACAGAAAATGGTGTTCAACCACTTAATGAAAATGGGACTAAGGATGGTGAATATGGTACAAGCATACAGTGCACAAAACAGTCCTTTTTTTGCTTTTTTAGCACATGTGCAGCCTGTGCCATAGTAGTAGTACAGTCCATGTGGTTTTACAGACTTTGGCAAATAACATAAATAGCCTTAATGCTCAGAAAAAATGCACATAAGCGTATTTCCCTGAATGCTGGAACAATTGCTTTAAAAAGTTTTCAGACAGAGCAAAATAAATACCAGAAAGTTTACAAGTATCAGGTATAACACACTTTGACAGCAAGGTCACAGATCTCCTTTCTTGAATAGAACAAAAGAGAAACAAAAACCACTGTGCACAGTGTTGACATAAGGGTCAAGTCAAAAATTCAGGCAGAAGAAGAGGAGCTGAACTTACAGCTCATGACTGGGTCCAATTGGAAGACTTACAATTACCAGCTCTATCAAATCAATCAATATCATCACACACACAAGAGCAACAAGAGTGACCTGAACATACACAGACACACACAGAGTAGGAGACACACATACAGACATATACACAAACATTAAAAATAACCTTAGAACAATTCAGAAATTTGGAAATCCATAGAGAGAAGTGTTCTCTGAAAGTATGAGAAGTGAAGTCACTACTTATTATTACTCACTTCAGAGGAATCACACACACAATACAAGATTGATGCCGATATTTCAACTGTGGTGCAAAGCAAACAACAGGATATCTGTGTCCCCTACAAAAGAAATAAAATGCAACTTCAATTATGCTGTTGAATAATTCATTTAGTGTTTGTTTTTCAAGGCACAGATACAGAAGCACTGGACTGGGCCTGCAAATGCCATTTAGCATTTATAGCCTATGCTGATTTGCAGTGCTTGTAAAATCACATTTAAAACAATCTGAAAAAAAAATACACTAATACAAAACACACATAACACATAAACAGATGTAAATGACTACCACTTGCTAGATAAAATCTACCATTACAGTTTATAAAAACAAGCCCCTTTTTTAATGCTATTGATCGTAGGTATTTATTTCTCCAAAAGTCATTTAGTGTAGTATTTAAAATCTGTAATTACCTCTGTACATACAGTAGTTTTTGGCAGGGTCTGCCATTTCAGGAAACAGGATGAGTAGATCTAGAAGTTACTGTTACTGTGACAGCACAAGCCCTCCAACTCATGCGTTACCTTAATTAGACAATGAAGGTAGGGGCTGCTGGTGAGGGTGGTTGCGATTATGTTAGGTAGTTCCTGAAGAGAGATAAAGATAAATTCATATTCTTGTATAATTCTTTGTGATAATTAGTGTCTCGCCAGCTTTTGTAGGAATATTACCATTTACTGTCATTTACTGGGTGACATGAGTTTATAAATACCATACAAGTAGGGTGGGAAAGGTTACTTTAAAAATGTAATCGATACAATTACTAATTTGTTTAAAAATGTAATCAGTAACGTAATCCGAGTACCACAAAATAAAAGTAATATAATCTGATTACTTTTAGTTACTTTTGGATTACTTCAATGCCAAATAGGCAAATAGAGACAAGAGAAGTATCTATGATGTATTTTCTCAGTGTATTTTTAGAGAAACATAGAACAAAATCTCCTATTACCAAAATCCATGTTTAAATTTTTTTTATATGATATGCTTTGCACTATGTCACCACTATGGCAGTATCTGGCCCATCAATGACAAAAAAATGTGTTTTGTAGGTATTATTGATGATATTAAGAGTTTGACATCTGAAAAAAAACATTTTAAGATGTTGATGACTCATACTGCACTTGTATTGATTTAGCGTCCAATGAAAAGATTTCTCAATATGACTGTGCTGAAGCACAGTGTTTCTGGGACCGGGCCCCACTGATTACTGAACAAAGACAACTTTTTTCACTGATTTTGGTGAAACTGGATCACATTTGATGGAGAAATAGAAATATGGAATAAATATTTTTCTAGTTTTCTCTCTGATGTCCCCTGGCTGCTCTGCCTTCACTCTGAATAACAGAGTTTCCTGATGGACAGATAGCTTTACTTGTGGCTTCAGTTAGTTAACAGCTAACTAGCTGCCATTATTAGCTCAGTTTGCTGTTCAACCACTGGTCAAATTAGGTGTTGGCACCTTTACTCAAGCACTGGAGGTCTTCAGGACAGGGGCAGGGGCAGGGGGACCCAGGAGGGAGTGATGGCAGGGTGCATTACTCGGGTGCAGCGCCTGATTTGGAACCGTAGCAGGGCGAGCGGGCAACAAAACCTCGCTCAGCAGCTTTGCAGTGAACACGGCATCAACAGGACCGAACACAGCCTCAAAGACCAAAAGGGAATCCAGTATTAAGATGATTTACACAGCACTTCTTTTTGCTAAACCGCTAACTGTAGTCTATCTCCCTATCTGTATGGAGGGACTGTTGGGTCAGATTTAAATCTAAAAATCTAAAATTGGTTTTAGGTTTGGTGTTTAGGATTGGGCAAACTTTCTGCTTAAAGTAATCCCCATGAGTAATCCCCAGTTTTTCAAAATGTACCTGTACTCTGATTATGTCTTTATTTTTTGTACTGTAACTGAATACAGTTACTTTTTCGATTACGTAATGCCGTTACATGTAATCCGTTATTCCCCAACCCTGCATACCAGTTTCAGTCCCTCAAAAAAAGCATCAAAGGTCATCAGCCCAGTAGCTTCTCGCTGGAGACAAATCAAGAGAAACGACAATGAGCTGTGTAAATCAAACTGTTGAAGTTTATATATTCATGCATAATTTCTGCACAATGTCAAAAAAAGTCAATCAAATCTACCTTTCTTTTGCAACTAGTGCTTGTCTTTGTGGTACCTATTGTAGTACTTGTCGTATTACTTGCAGTAGTACTTGGTGGTTATGGTGGCGGTGAAGTGACATTCACATCCACTCGTTCCCAGAATATATTAAAAGACTCAACAAATGTGGCTCTGAAATATATCAGACACTGATGTTAAAGTAAATCTGCTTGCACATCATTGGAATATTTAATAAAACTGTAAAAGTTCAGTTTTATTCTTGACTTTTAGAGGTCATCAAAGTGTACAAATACCTGAAAGTGATGTCTAGCTCTTCTGCCGGAGCTGTCCAGTTAACTCGAATTAAAGTCTTTCTTTGATTGTTTTTTTGACTCACAGCTGAGCCCTGAGGAGAGTGATAAAAGACTTTGATCTTGAATTTCCACTCAAGTTCATTTAAATGTGTTAATTAAATTGGATGTGGAAAATATGAATATTCAATTTAACATTTCAATGCATTTACTAACTCTAATAATGACGACATGGGTTGGTTACTTACTACTATATCACCACACGTCACGAGTTGAGAATTACCAGAGTCAAGCAAGATAAATTTTCCAACAGGCCGGCCATCGTCCACCATGCTTTTGTTTCGAGCCTCCAACATAAATCCCCTGAACTGTGTGGATGACTTGCTCTTGAGAAAAACTGGAAAATGGTTCGGAGATTTATCAGGACGCAGGTGGAGAAAATGGAGACAGTGATAATCCTGCGCTTAGTGAATGACCACTGCAACAAAGATTCATAGTGACAAATAAGCCTTCATCCAAAAGTCTCTGTACCTGTAATAGGGTCTCCCTTTTTACCATGTTCGTAACGGACCTCAAAGGGCGGTTGAGTGTTCTGAGGAGCGAAAACTTCCCCTCTATTTTTATGCCTAGGTGACATTGTATGACATACTTTCGGGAAGTAACCGCTTGCATAACCGCACACTTTTGTGATGATGCTTAGGCCAACCAACGTCCACAGCCACATCTGTAAAACAAGTGTGCAAAGCCATCTGTAAATGCGATAAACCCGATATGAACACGTCTTTTTTTTCAGCCTTCTTCCTAAACATGTGTGGCAGGTTGAGGGTTTTTCTCCCTCCCGCCACTATATTGCGCTGCACTGGTGCCATGACAACCGGATGCCGCTGCCGTGGCCTATAAGTACAGGTGATGATGCACCTGTGTCGGCCTCTCTCACCTGGGTTGGGCGTCTCGACTGTTGGCGACGGTGGTCGGCGTTGTGGTGTGCTGATGCGAGTGCTGTTATGGCCTGTAGCGCAACAGTTTAGCTGTTAACGGCCCTAAACCTGTGGAGTTCTGTATATGCACGCGACGTTGCTCCCGGTCCGTGTGGTAAGTGTGTTGTCTGCTTGCATGCCAATGTAACCGTCTGCTGTGTGCGCTTAGTGCATCGCGGCTAAACACAATACTCCCTTAATTGTTTTAGAGCGAATTGTTTGCTGTGCGGGCTGTCTCGCTCTTGCCTGTGGGCTGATTATGTGTGAGCGCTGTGGAACCGTGGGGGTATGTATGCATATTTCTCATAGTATGCCATTTAACTGAATATATAGCCTACCATGCGAAATATTAGGGGTGCTAAATCTTCCCCTCCCTCTAGTGCTCTGCTGCCTCGGCAGGGGTTTGAACGGCGGCTTGGTCCGTCTGCCTTGTGTCTCGGCTTTGGGTATATCTCTCCCCCTCTCTCTCTCTCCCTCCCCCTGTGGGATTGCCCTCTGCCTGGTCGGCCCAGTTCAAGTGTCGTCCCGAAAAGTGATCGTCCGCCAAAAACTGATGTTTGGTAGGCCTATGTCCCAATATCTCCGTTTATATTTGGAAAACGGACTGTATAGCCTAATTAACATGACTTACTGCCAACTTGTATATAAAATGAAGACAATCTTGTAATTATCCTTATGACTGCATTATTTTACTTGCTGTGTAGGCCTACCGACCAATCCACTTTTTTTTACCTGTTAAAATACCTCTTAAATGGCCAATACAACTCATAAAATGCAGTATTTCACTTGCCAGAAAATGATCGAAGCCTTTTGTTGTTGACTGGTTATTTCTGCCCTGAAATTAGTTGACTTCATTCAGAAGAGTTATATTTGACAGATTATAGCTCACCTAGTACTTTGTCTTAAAATACCTACAACCCATAAAATGCAGTAGGCTATTTCACTTGCCGGAAAGTGACTGAAGAGACTGGGCAATACAGCTCCAGCAGATGGCAATCACTTTTCGGCACAACACCGGTCACCTTTTTATTAGCATTTTTTTGTTATTACTAGTTATAGTATATTTAGTTTATACAGTTGGCATCTTGTGTTGTGATTTTCAATTTTCTGTCTTCATCTTGGTTGGTTTGAATTAATTGACTTGCATGTTTTGATTTGTGTGGTGTTTTGACTTATTCTCTTTGCCATTGTATTTTAAATAGTAAGCCTATATTGTATTTTAAATTATTTGGCCCATATTTCTATTATTCAATGGCATGCCTTAAGTGGTAGCCTATACGTAGTTGGTGTTCTGTTAAATTACTTTGGTTGTCTTTAATTAGTACTTAGTTTAATAAATTTAAATGTAAAACACTCTCTGCCCTGGCCTTATTTCAGGTGACCTATCTTA